CAAGATTCATCAAACTGCGAGAGACGACGCGTGAGCTGGGACACTCATTAAACTTCAAAAGGGTAATGTTGCTCTAATGAAAAAGTACTCGGAAAACCAAACGCTTGTATTACCAATCATCCTTCACTCAGGGAGCTACAAATCTACCGAGTTTGCAAACAGAAATGCTGTCCAATTCATCTGACGCATTAGATAGGTTGTGTTATGTTTATACTTATAGAAATGAGCATATGAGCATCTCATTTAACTATTGGACACTTATGGTAACCAGTGTTTTTGCGTGTCTTCTTGCCCCCATGACAGTGGCTGGGAATGCTTTCGTTTTGGCAGCAATTTGGAGAAACCCGACGCTAAGGACTCCATCCCATGTGCTTCTTGCTGGATTGGCCTTCACGGACTTTTGCACAGGACTAATAAGTTTGCCAGTTTTTGCTGCGTTCATGTCAGCACATTTAAGGGAAAGAAGTCTGAGATGCACTTTTAATCTGATTTCATATTGTGTTGGTAATTTTTTCGCCGCCTCGACGGTCGGTATCATAACGATGGCTGCTGCAGAAAGATGGCTGTGTATGAGCCGGAGGTCTCTTCTTACAGTACGCCGAGTTACCATTCTTTACATCATAATGGTGTGCTTGATAACTGCCTATATAACTGTCCGTGTTTTCAGTTTTCGGTATCTATCAAAGGACATAGACAATTTGCTGAATGGAGTTTTTCTGACGGCAGCGGCGATTTGTATTCTGGTCATAGCAGTTTCGTATTACAAGGTGTTTGGAATAATTCGTCACCATCAAAAAGGAGTTCAAGGAAATCAAAATTCCATTGATATTTCAAAATACAGAAAATCTATATTCACCATTCTGTATATATTTTCACTTTTTGTGATCAGTTACCTCCCTTATTTGGGTAACGCGTTGACCTTTTACGTTTTGCAAGAATTCGGGGACACGTTCGTAACATTCACCAGATTAACTACGACTATTGTTTATTCTTCCTCGCTTTTAAATCCTTTGCTTTATTGCTGGAGGATGAAGGAGATAAAGATGGGTGTAAAAAATTTAATGAGAAAGCTATTTTGTAAACAAGCAGCAGAGGATGAGGAATAACGCCATATTTTCAGTAGTAAGTTTCCCTTGACAAAAAAAACATAAACATACGCATACCTGCTAGAAAATTAATACATAAAGAGAGGACAAGATCATTACACAGAGAAGAAAGAAATTAAATAAGATCAATACTTAGAAAAGAAGGCGAATAGTAAGATTTGTTTTTACATGCTTTTGTCTTATTTATAGGAAGTTTTTGCCTCGATTAGTTTACGGTCGTTTTTAGCCACTTGCTTGTTTTAGCAACTTGTTCGTGTTAATATCTTGGTAGTTTTAGTATTCTGGTTTTATCGACAATAAATCTCTGTGACCGTCACTTTGCTTCTCGTGATTGCTTCCCGAAAATAGTCCCAAACACCTTGGTAGCCATACTCCCAAAGTAACGCGTCGCTTGAATTTTGTTCCAGTCGCCGCAAGCGTAACAGGGAAGTTTACTTTGACAAGTTTGGTTGTTAATTTTCTTTGTCAACCTGTATACCTAGCACTTTCTTCGTGGCAACTAGGCGCTTGCATGTTGGCAAAAGTTGCAATATTGCAAAAAAAAGCCTTAAAAGTGTGATTGCTGAACCATGGAAAAAATTATTTCAAGGCACAAATATTTGCATAATGTTGGTATGTTTATTAATCATTTGGTAATTATCGAGCTGCACTGAGATATCTCGAACCATTAGGGCCTATTT